GAGGTGGGTGCCAGCTCCTTCCCTGCCCCTGCACCCAGCTTCTGTGGTCACGGATCGCAGAAGCCGGGTGCAGGGCAGGGAAGCAGCGGCCGGGGAGGCTGGTGGAGGCTGCTTCCCTGCCCACGCACCTGGCTTCTGTGATCGCCCCTGCACCCGGCTTCTGCGGTCACGGTCGCTGTCTGTGTCTGCGTCCCTGCCCCACCCCCAGGCTTCTCCGATTACCCACTGGTGGCAGGACAGCCTCCAGGGCCGACCTGTGCCCTGCTCCCGGGCTCTTGCCTGCGCCTGGGTTTCTGATCATTGTCTTCCATCCTTCCCCTTTCACCTTAACCGCCATCTTTGTTGGCGGTTAACCGCCATCTTAGTTGGCGGTTAATTTGCATATCACCCTGATTAGCCCATGAAAAGGGTAGCAGTCTTATGCCAATTACCATTTTTCTCTTTTATTACTGTAGATGTTTCTATCTCTCCCTCTCCCTTCCTCTCTGAAATCAATAAATATATTTAAATAATAATAAAAATAATAATAATTGGAGGAAATCATTACTCATGGTTACCTGTGAGAGGATTAGTTTGGAGGTGGAGAACAGAATTATTTTTCATTTTATACTTTCTCACAATTCAAATTTTATATCATGCTAAAAAACTTTTTTTTAAATTGAGGACACGGTTGTGGTAGAGCAGGATAGGAAAGTGCCAATCCTCTCAAGGAGAACAAATAATCCAGAAAGTGGTTATTTTTCATAAAATACATGAAAGCTCTTTTAAGACCATTAATTCCTCAGGCTCTGGTTCTGTCATTACTAACACACTTCAAGGTTCATTAAGATAGTTTCAGAGCCCTTGATCACCAAAAGGTGTGTTTGGAGCCTAGTAAATAAAGTACAGTAATCCTCCCTTATCTGAGGTTTTACTTTCCACATTTCAGTTACTCTCAGTCCACCATGGTCCAAAAATATTAAGTGAAAAACTCCAGAAATAAATAATTCATAAGTCTTAAATTGCACATCATTTTGAGTAGGGTGATGAACTCTCGCCATCCTAGCCAGGACATGAATCATCTCTTTGTCCAATGTAAAGGGTGTCCCAAAATTCACGCAAGAAGTAATTTTGATAGAAAACACAGGTTTATAATTAAAAATTGTAAATTTTTTATTGATTCATAAAGTATACAGTATAGGGTTATGTATGAAATAGCATACATAAAAACTGGATTATAATGTCGCGATAGTGAGCACCATTAACTGCATTTTTCTTTGGGGTTTTTGAAGTCTAAGATTTATGCCAACAAGCCCACAACCACCCATGCCTTGAAGGAGTAAATTGAGCACTGTATCAACGACATTCAGCCACATTTATGCAAAAACGGTCATGGAAAATTTCAACAAAAGAGTATATATGTGCCAGCAAAGCCGTGGGGGCCATTTACCCGATATGCTATTCCAAACATAACCCTACACTGTATACTTTATGAATCAATAAAAAATTTATAATTTTTAATTATAAACCTGTGTTTTCTATCAAAATTACTTATTGCATGATTTTGAGACACCCTTTCTCTACGCTGTATTTGCTTGTTAGTCAATTAGTAGCTGTCTCCGTTATCAGACTGCCTTTTGCAGTATGGCAATGCTTGTGTTCAAGTAACCCTTATTCTACCTGCAGTGATGCTGCCAATATGGATATGCCAAAAAGAAGCCATATAGTGCATGTATGTGTAGGAAAAAGCATAGAATTTACAGGATTCTGTACTATCCTTGGTTTCAGGTATCTACTGGGGGGTCTTGGACTGTATCATCAGTGGATAAAGGGGACTACTGTATCCTCCAATTACTAAAAAGATGTATTTCCCAGAGTAAATTAACAAAATGACATCCTAAATTATAATTGGATCTCCTGTGAGTTTATCATGAAATGAACCCTGTAACCTGATCAAATCTGCATGAACCAGTAATGCTAGGTTTCTAGAGGCCTAAGACAACTCCCTCAATTGTTTTTGATGCTCCCATCTCAAAAGCTACAAAACCTGTCTTTGACATTTAAGTCTGGGCTTCTGTATTACAGAGCAAGAAAAAGCAACTCCACAGCCAGCCCCAGTGGCTAGACCAGTGATGGCAAACCTTTTGAGCTCAGAGTGTCAGCATTTTGAAAAACCCTAACTTAACTCTGGTGCTGTGTCACATATAGAAATTTTTTGACATTTGCAACCACAGTAAAACAAAGATTTATATTTTTGATATTTATTTTATATATTTAAATGCCATTTAACAAAGAAAAATCAACCAAAAAAATGAGTTCACGTGTCAGAGGTTCGCCATCACTGGGCTAGACAGAAGATACAAGCAGGTAAACTCAAGTCCTATCATTTTATTTGCCAAGATCTCCTCACTTAGAAAAAAACAAAATGGGTTAAATAACAAAGCAGCAAGCCCTATTTTAATGTTTTTCTGTCAGCTCCTTTTCATCTTTACTAGTGACAACTCTAGTGATGCTTAAGAGCACAACACACCAACACTGGGGGTTCTATACAGATCCCACTTGAGGAAAGGACCTTTCCAAAGGACACTATGCACCAAGCCCCTGGGCGTGGCTGCACTAAATATAAATATGCCTGGGCCTATTTGTAGGTTTCTATATGTCTGAAGAAAGATTACACCCAAGAGTTTCATTGACTTAAACACTCAAAATAAAATCAGCTCCTATTTCGAGATAAGCTCTGTAAGTGACTGAACCTTGAGACCAAGGCCCAATTAATCCAAAGATGATTAGAATTCTTTCTAGAATCATGCTGAATAATGCACTAATGAGTCTGCTCCCGACTGTGAGGGGTCAAACAGGCGGTCGCCACCAGGTCAACCATGGTTAGAATTTCCAGTATTGTCAGTAAGACAATCTGGCTTTGTGTCTTCTGACAGAATGTACTGTATGTACCCTTGAGTACACTCTCTGTCCTTCAGTAAGGTGGCAAAGACCCCAAGCTCATACAATGAATGGAAGGCCTAAAGCATGTCACAAAGTTCACTTGCAATAAAGCAAATCAATGCAAACTTATGTTGACATCAACAAAGTTCATATGGCAAATTTTTTAAATAATACCCTGTCTTCCTTTCAGTGCAATTGATAATTCTCTGCATTTACAAATCTTCCTAAGAGATACAGAGCTACTCTTTCAACTTCTTAGTTCTAATTCAACTTTAAATTAACATGAGGCAGCGCAACGGGCATAGCTCAGTGGTTGAGCATAGACCTATGAACCAGGAGGTCATGGTTCGATTCCCAAATGGGACACATGCCCCAGGGTTATGGGCTAGATCCCCAGTGTGGGGGCATGCAGGAGGCAACTGATCAATGACTCTCTCTCTTCATTATTTCTATCTCTCTCTCCCTCTTCCTTCCTGAAATTAATAAAAACATATTTTAACTAGTGGCCCAGTGCATGAAATTTGTGCGGGGGGGGGGGTCCTTCAACCCAACCTGCACCCTCTCCAATCAGGGACCCCTTGGGGGATGTCTGGCTGCCGGCAGTCGGACATCCCTCTCACAATGGCCAGTCAACCCAGTCTAATTAGCATATTACCCTTTTATTAGTATAGATAGATTATATAGGATAGCATTGCTTAAATTAGGGGGGGAGCCTTTTTCTGCAGGAGGAGATGCTTTTGGCAGACAAAAATACATAATTCCTATATCTGGACTGATAGCCAGCCATATGCACTATACTGCCAAACTGGTCATTAAAAAATTGAACTGCTTTCTTACACCTTACACCAAACAGCTGTTGCCCTTAAAACTCCTCCTCAGCTCCCACCTTAGGTTCTGCCATCGCAGTTCACTCAGATTAGGTTCTGATTGGTCGATTTCTATGCCAGTCAGTCAATAGCTCCGCCTCCTAGGCAGCCATTGGCTCCTCGCAGTTCACCCAGATTTGGTTCTGATTGGTCAGTTTCTATGACAGTCAGCATCTCCAGACCTATCTCTGGGCCTGATCAGCAGCCGCCCCAGGCTGCTGACGAGCGGGCTGAACTGCTGACCTCTGAAGGAGGGGGGAGGGGAGGAATGGCTACTGGTGAGGCCCAGAGAGAGAGAGGCAAGGGCTGATCAACAGCTGCCACAGAGGCTGGGGATCAGACCCTGCTCTCTCCGGGCCTTGCCAGCAGCCGCGGCAGCTGCTGATTAGCCCCACCTCTCTCTCTCTCTCTCTCTCCCCGAGAGGTCAGCAGTTCAGCCCACTCGCCAGTGCCCGCCCACCTGAGCCTGCTGCGCACACAGCCTGGCGTTCAGTTGTCCCTTCAGTCATTTTGGACGTTACAGACCCTGACTCTCTCTATATAAATTAGTTAATTAACATGAGGCATCTATATATATAAAAGCCTAAGCAACCAAAAGACCAAAAGACTGGTCAAGCGGTCGCTATGACACACACTGACCACCAGGGAGCAGACGCTCAATGCAAGAGCTGCTCCCTGGTAGTCAGCGCACTCCCACAGTGGGGGCGTCGCTCAGCTGACCAACGCACGCCAGATGCCGGGCTCAGGGCTGGCAAGCACAGCTGTGGCAGCGCAAGCCTCTCCCGCCTCCGCAGCAGCACTACCGAGTGGCATTCGTGGCAAGTGCAGCGGGGCCAGGATGAGCGAGAGCGGTGTGGGGCCTGGCCTGGACTCAGGCTCCTCCCTGGCCGCCTGCTGCTTCGTGCATTACTACATCTCTCGAAGGGTGTCGGACTGCCAGTTTCAGCCCGATCCCCACAGGCCAGGCCCTAGATCAGGCCAAAACCACCAGTCCAACATCCCCCAAGGGGTCCTGTATTGCGAGAGGGCACAGGCCAGGCTGAGGGACCACACTGGTGACAAATCCATGCACCAGGCCTCTACTTAAATAATAATAACTGAAAATTTTAGAATGGCCTCAATTCTTTTTCCCAAAAGAAAGACCTGACAGGCATAGCATTCATTTATGTGGAAAACCAATAATACTAAAAACCTAATTCTAGATTATATGCTTATCGACAGTCAATTCTTTGTAGATGCTAAACCAGAATTCTTTGGATCTCCCTCACAATGAGCAAAAAGCTTCCCTACCAACTTGGACACAGATTATCCCAAATTAAAACACTGCTTTTTTCACCATTTTGCCCTTTTTAGTTTCAGAGAATCACTATCACGGTAAGGGCCAGGAAAAGGCCGGCCAAATATACCATCTAACAAAATTATTTATTCTGATTTAACGGCAACTTAAAATATCACAAAATGTACCTAAAATAATGCACAAAGTTAGTCATGATTTTAAATGAGTAATGTCTAATGCTAAAGATAAAAAACAACAGCAAAAATAATCTTCTAAAATATGTACATTTAAGAAAGAGTAAGATTGGGAACATTTCAAGCATATCTGCCCACTCCCAACTGACACTACAATTTTTATTATTTTTCTCAAACACTCTAAAACTCTGAACAGAGGGTGTAGCTTGTATAAAATGATGAACAAAATAATGTACCATATTCCTTTATAATACTTGAAAATAGTAGCATTCACGCTATAATTTCATACTATCATCTATAGTATTTTCATCAAAGCTGTATAACACAATGAAAAATGGTTGTACAGAAACCAGCAGCCTCAGTGTCTCCATGTAAGCCACATTTTATTTTTAACTGTGTGTGTGTGTGTGTGTGTGTAACATTCTTCCTTCCTTGAAATGCAGGTAATAGTGGCCAATAGAAAAAGACCTATCAGCTCAAAACTGCATCTTGTATTGGGCTAAACCACAGTAAGAGTAGGAAACCTACTCCAAGCTGTCAGAGCAAGGACTATATAAATGGAAATTAATCAATATCCTAAAAAAAAAGAAATCCCAGATAGCAAAATGTGAATACCTGGTTGTGCCCATGGCTGCTGTGAGAGAGTGTACTTGGGTCCTCCCTGACTGGCCATTGTTTTTAATGCTGAAACCTAGTAAAAGAGACAAAAAAAGTTTCATTTCATTGATGACAAATTAAACTAGTACTTCTCTCAAAAGATATTTACCACTTTTTAAACCTACCTATATATAGTCTATATATATAAAAGCCTAAGAGACCATTATGACCGAACGACCGGAATGACCAGACAACCAGCCAGTAGCTATGACCCACACTGACCCAGACCTTGCTGCTGGGGCCCTGACAGCCTCAAATCTGGTTCACCTACACCCTGGATGCAGACAGGAGGAAGGAGGAAGCCTGATTCCTCATGGAATCAGCCATTGGCTAGCTTGCTGCTAGGGCCCTGATAGCCCCAAATCTGGTTTACCCACAACCTGGACTCAGACAGGAGGGAGCGGGGAGCCCGATTCCTCACAGAATCAGCCGTTGGACAGTGTGCTGCTGGGGCCCTGACAGCCCTGAATCTGGTTCACCCGCACCCCAGACCCAGACAGGGCAAGATGGCCCCATTCAGCCCTGATCACTGGTCAGGCCTAGGAACTCCACCCGTGCATGAATTCGTGCACCAGGCCTCTAGTTAAAACATAATGAGTCTGGTCGGTGTTACTCATGGTTGAGTGTTGACCTATGAACCAGGAGGCCATAGTTTGATTCCAGGTCAGGGCACATGCTTAGGTGGCAGGCTTCATCCCCAGTGGAGGCAAGTGCAGGAGGCAGTCAATCAATGATTCTCTCTCATCATTGATGTTTGTATCCCTCTCCCCGTCTCCCTTCCTCTCTGAAATCAATAAAAATATTTTTTAACAAATAAGAGTTAAAAAAATAAGTCTTCTAACAACCTAAGAATGTTCTCTACACACTCACACATTTTATTTTACTATGCAAGCCCATATCCTATGTAATAAAAGCCTAATATGCTAAGTGTCCGGTCGTCCAGTCATCAGTTCAACCAATCAAAGCGTAATATGCTAATGATATGCTAAGGCCACTCAACCACTAGCTATGATGTGCACTGACCACCAGGGGGCAGACAGTCACCCGGTTGACCAGTCACTATGACATACACTGACCATCAGAGGGCAGACACTCCAACGGGTAGGTTAGCTTGCTGCTGGGGTCCAGCTAATCAAGACAGAGCAAGATAGGCCAGACACACCCTGGAGCCCTCCCGCAATCCCTCCTCAGCTGGCCAACCTCTCAAATCTCTCCCCAGTCCTAATCATGCACCGGTGGGGTCCCTTGGCCTGGCCTGCGCCCTCTCACAATCCAGGACACCTTGGGGAATATTGGAGAGCCAGTTTCAACCTGATCCCGCGGGCCAGGCCGAGGGACCCCACTAATGCATGAATTCATGCACCAGGCCTCTAGTATATTTATAAAATCAGTCCAAGCTTAAAACAAGCTGAGGACATTTTGTTGATGAGACTTACATCCAAATGGTAAGTACTGACACCTAAAGGCATACATCCAAATGAAAGATCAAATACTGTTTCCTTTCTGTACCTATGGATGCTGTTTTTCTTACAATCATTTATCAAGGTGCAAGCACTGGTTGCCTTATAAAATGCCAACTATAATAAAAGAGGCACAAAAAACTTCACTTACAGATTTGCTTTTAAAAAATCATTTTAGCCCGGCCAGCGTGGCTGGAGTGGTTGAGCATCGACCTACGAACCAGGAGGGCACAGTTCAATTCCCAGTCAGTGCACATGCCTGGGCTGTGGGCTCAATCCCCAACGTGGGTGTACAGGAAGAAGCCAATCAATGATTCTCTTTAATCACTGATATTTCTATCTCTCTCTCCCTCTCCCTTCCTCTCTGAAATCAATAAAAATATATTTATTATAAAAAATTAAAAATCATTTTAAAGTTTTTCAATACAATACTCACTAGGAAAAAGGGAAAATTTGCTCCACAAATTCTAAGATGCCATGTCTTAAATGATCACATATATCTGTGAACTCTAGTGCTTACATTTCATGCTTCTGTGTGTGTGTGTGTGTGTGTATGCATGTTTGGGATATATACCATATGCACATATGTATATGGTATATATCTTTACCTCTGACTCACTCTATGCCAACAGGGCAGGGAAGACCTAAATTTGGAGTAAGATAACATACAAGGGATGCTCAGTCTTCTACTAAATACGTTGACTGGAAACTCAATGAGGAGCAGTGAAGGGCCAGAGTTGGAAAAGGAAAAATGAGGCACCATAGAATGAGAAGAGGGGATGGAATTGTCTTCTCAATGACGATTAGAGAAGGGTCTTTCCTTCACAAATCCCACAGTGAGGAGAGTATGAAAGAGATGCATGAAAAAAAAAAAGAGAGAGAGAGAGAAATGCATGAGCCCTTACTGGTCTGGCTCGATTGTGTGTCTGGTCAGGGCACATGCCAGGGTTTAGGACTTGATCCCCAGTAGGGGGCGTGCAGGAGGCAGTTGGTCGATGTTTCACTTTCATATCAATGTTTCTTTCTCCCCCTCTTCCTTCCTCTCTTAAAATCAATAAAAAAATTTTTCTAAAAAGATGCATGACTGCCCTACCCGGTTTGGCTCAGTGGATAGAGAGTCGGTCTGCGAACTGAAAGGTCCCAGGTTCGATTCCGGTCAAGGGCACATGCCTGGGTTGTGGGCTTGATCCCTAGTGGGGGACTTGCAGGAGGCAGCCTATCCATGATTCTCTCTCATCGTGGATGTTTCTATCTCTCTCTCTCCCTCTTCCTTCCTCTCTGAAATCAATAAAAATATATTTTTTTTTAAAAAAAGATGCATGACCAGCTTAGCTATATTTAGGTCCCCACTATAGACACGTAGTATGTTCATGGAGAACCATTATATAATTCAGACTTGGAATACATATTTCTACATAAGCCTCTAATTTTTAAAAAGTGTTCATCATGTCCAGAGTCTTTTAAAATGCACAACTGTATAATACTACCAGATTTAACAAACTTACACTAATGTCAGCTTGGAGAATCACATCAGTCAATTTTCATTCTCTTGATTTCAAGGAAACTGTATTTTTCTAGAAAAACCCTTTAATCCTAGATTTCATCATAATCAACTTGTTTCTATGGGAAGTTTCACTCTGCTGATGTTATTACAAAATATTCATCTACAGTATTTCCCACCAGTATTAATGTGGAATCTTCTCCCAAAAATACAGGGTGGGGCGAAAGTAGGTTTATACACAAAACAGGTTATTTTTGTATTATTATTTGTTAATTATTGTATTATTTTCCATACAAACAACTATAAACCTACTTTCGCCTCATCTTGTACAAACTATAATCTACAAGCTGGTTTTACATTAGTAAAAACTATGATGACTTATGAATAAATTACAAAGTATCAATATCTGTACCATATTTTAAAAGTTGGAACCTAGGAGGAAAACATTTCCACCATCTCTTTTTAAATTTACAAGGTAGAGAACGATCTCTCTCTCTCTCTCTCTCTCTCTCTCTCTCTCTCTCTCTCTCTCTCTCTCTCCCTCCCCCACCCGCCGCCCCGCGCCCCCAAATACTTGATATGAGTAGACTAAAAGCCACTAAACAGTAACATGCCCCAACAATAAATAAAGAGTAGTTTGACTGGTTTAACATTTCTATATTTGTTTTTTTTTGGTAATTATTGTTTTTTAAAACTAATCTATTCTGTTTTTACCTCAGGCTCAGGTATTAGTGTTGATGCCTGCAACAAGTCACTAATGAACAATTTGCTTAGTTATCTCCTGGTCATTTCAAGGACACATCTTGTCTCCCAGTTAAGACTTAGTTAAGTAAAGTTGAGAGAAAAGTCTGCGATACTTCTATTCTTTTTATGACGTTTTCTAATACAAGTCTGGACAAGCAGTAAAGGCTCAATAAAGTAAAGTTAATTTCAAGACTTTTTAAACATCTTTATGAGGAAAGTCCTTAGTAAAAACACTTAAATTTTTTTTTGATGATTAGATTGTAACAGGAAAGTCAAAACAGTCATGATCTAAATTTTTCAGTGGCTGGCATTAGATAGTTAATGGATTTTAGCTAGGAGACAGAGAAAAACAGATGATTATAAACTCATATATCTGGTGATTAACAATGCAATGAGCCCTGACCAATGTTGCTAAATGGTTAGAGCATCTGCCTGTACACTGTAGGGTCTTTGGTTCGATTCCTGATCAAGGGCACGTCCCTGGGTTGCAGATATGATCCCCAACCCTCAACCCCAGTCAGGACTCACGAGGGAGGCAACCAATCAATGTGTCTCCTTCACACCGATCTTTCTCTCTTCCTCTCTCTCTCTCTCCCACTTCCCTTCCACTTTCTAAAAATCAATGGAAAAAATATCCTCCAGTGAGGATTAACAACAACAACAAAAAAACACAATGCAATGATACAAAATCAATTTTCAATTATCCGTGCAAAGGGAAGGGAGAAATAGCATGTAAAACAAAGAGGAAAATAGTTCACCCACTTAACAGGAAGCCCTGATAAGCAGGACTGCCATGCAGGTGCTAATCTAGGAAAAGTGAGAGTCCCAGACCACATGCAGATACTCTCAATGTAACACAGGTAACCAGAGGTCTGCTATAAGCAGTTTTTATCTAAAAATTCGAAACAAAAAGCTTCTATAAAAAGAAACAAGGTGATGTCCTTG